GGCAGAATTGTTCCATACTTCCATTCTGGAAAGAATCGTTTTGAGGCCAACATGTGATTAAATCTGATATTTGGCGTTTCTGCTATTCCCGTTCCTTCATAATTATTTGACTCTGGGAAAATTCGACCCACCCCGGAGTTCTACTTACCTTAGAGGTATAGCAGGGCGTTTTGTGTTTGTAGTTTTTCGGATGAATCTGAACTAAAGTGAAGCGATGGCAGAAAGTTTACGATCGAAGGAGGACTAGCAGCAGTGAATTTGGAGGATAGTGTTGAGCAAGTGCTGGAAACGCTCAGCCAATCTTTTAGGGCGTTTATTCTTATTTGTTAAATGGCGTTCTATGCGTCTTGGATGAGGATGGAGAGGTTTCTCTACTTAATGAACAACTGTCGTAATTCTTCGAAGGCTCTTCGCCAATTATTCTGTTTAGCTGCTTTTTCGATCTTCCTGATTGCCCCTCCAACCAAAGTTACTTCTCTCACCTGTCGCTCTGACTGGCTATATTAACAAAATGGCGGTGGCCTGCCTAAGGTAATGGGGAATTTGCATGTACTCATTATCTGTTTCCTTATGCACTCTAAGTGCCAGTGTGTTCTCTGTAACCGAAAGCAGTTTGGCTGTTCTTTTCTTGGCTCAAACCACGTTTTTTGCCGAAGAAACAGCGCCTTCTTGGAGTCTTTTTAAGCTTCATCGACGTAGCGAATGTCTCAGTGGGACAGTAACATTGGTACTAAAATAACTCTACCTCCTTTTAGTAGGTCGATCTCGCGTGCTGCTTAGTCATATTTTATCCTGTCAACACGGAGAAGCTGACGTGTTCCTACCGGCGATGGCGATGTGATGGCTAATTTTAGTCGTAGAAAGTCTGCTACGGCTACAATAGACCCAGTGCAGTCGCCACTCCTGACTCGAGTTTCTGGTAATGAATTGCGTCATTTGCCGCTGATGAGGATTGAGTCCAGTTGTATGTTGAGACTTCCATTGAGGTGGTTTGGTTAATTTGCTTATGAGAGAAACTTGTCCAACGCGTTTGTCGTGCTAAAGCTTACTATAACGATTACCGTCGTCGTTCATGCTGTCAATAGTTCGACAGCTGAATACGCCTGGCCATGTTTTGTACTCGACGTTGCGGTTACCTGTGACAGTTCATGCGTAATTCGTGGTTCAAAACGCTAACAGCTGATTGCAAGCAATTGCAGATCTTTTGTCAGGACATGGCCGACGGGTATATTCAACGTCGCCTTTTTGATACTTTCGCACAGATTAGAATTCTCTTTGCGTCTGTTCCATCCTGATATTTTCGCCTGGCTTACCCTCAGGGCAAGAGGATACCCACACCGACACGGCGTAATTCACAGCCCGTCCCACATGTAAAACGTCCCCTTGTCCAGGAGGCGAGCTTCCGTGACCGTCAGTTTATTCAGTTTGTACTGACTAGCTGCACGGGAGATGTCATCTTATTTACCTTCGTCAGACAAGGAACGAGTGTTCTTATGTGCAAGACGGAATTTACCTTTTGTAACGTAAATAGATAGTGGAAGTCGGTCGCTGCACAACTCATTTCCCTTAGAAAAAGAAATTTTCCCGCCGCTCAGTACTAAACTAGCGCCACATCCCTAATATGTGAGGAATTTTTCGGGTTGATGATGCTTTTCACCACGCATTCTGGCAGCATTTATCACATG